TTCAGCTGTCTCTATCATAAAGGCAATTTAAAAAAAGCCCCCCAAAAAAAATAAACAAAAAATTAACAGCCACCAACCGTCAAATGCTGGTAAATAATTTGGAATCACAGCGTAGGGCCAAGTTTACATCGCTGTGTTATTTATTTGTACCGGCTGAAAATAATGTGACCATCACTGTCCACCACACCTATCGTGACTTCAGAGAATCAAATCAAACCAGCTTACCACTATTTAGTGCTTTCTATGCAATTTCTGTTCTGTTTTTGCTGTGGGAAATGTCTGCATTATGTTGTTTTTAGAGACATGGCTGCGTATTCCCGGAAAACATGAAAGTGAAGAGAAAAGTCATGGTGGTTGGCTTTTTGTGAGGTGGCTGAACGATGCAGGAGCCTCTACTAAAATACAGTTTGAAGTTTGAAAGGTTTAGAAAGGCTCAACAACATGAGGTATTTGTTTAATCAGAACACATAATGCAGATTTTGGATGGTAATTTTTCTCAGTTTGCCTTCCATTGGCAGATGAAAAAGTGAATTTTGGACCCTGTCAGGGGAAAGTGAGTAAGATTCAACCTCTGGGGAGCTGAATGAATGGCAATCCATTTAATATTTGTTGACCAAGTCTGGACCAAAGTGGTGGACTGACCCTGAGTAATGTGCTGGCGCTGCATTAGAATGAAGGTAGACATTACTCTCTGAAGTCTTACCAGTATGCGTTTCCATGAAGAGTACTCTCCCAGTGCCACAGCAATGTAAACGAAGATTACAGCATAGCTGATCATGAAGATGGGGATATCCTCGGCTGTTGTCCGATTTATTTCATCTTCTAGAGACCTCTGTAGACAGATGGGGAGACGGCTTAAGAGTTAAAATAGTGAGGGGACAACACAATCCCTTGAAAAAAGCAGATTTTACTGTACCTCTGCCATGTACGCAAAGGTGAAGTTGCAGGCAGGGTTTTTCTGGTACTCCTGGACAATTTTGAGAAACTCTGTCTCCCACTGCATAGCCACTTTAAACTTGGTGCTGTTGCGGGCGTAGTTGTTGAGGGAGAAGGTCAGGATGAAAGCCTCAGCATTGGTGAAGTCATCATCTGGGAAAAACAAGACATGCAATGTTCAGTTGAGTCACCTTTTTGTGTTTATCGTACAGGTATTTCATGTGTAAAAGATGTTGTGGAAAGTCACTCACTCTCATAGCCTCCCACAGCCAGAAAGGAGAAGACTGGAGCTCCGTAATCAGCCATGCAGCTCATTCCTAAATCGGTGATGTCTTTGAAGGACAGGGGAGAGCTTGAGAAGAGACGGAAGAAGAGAAGGGAAGGTTATGTTAAAGTTCTTGCAAATTAATCACTGTTTGATTTGATTTTCCTTTTGATGAATCTTTACTTGAGGCAGTAGATTAAGTGGTCTCTCCAGTCCACCTCTTTGGTCACACCCAACTCTGTCATGTTCACTTTAGCGTTAATGTTGTCCAGGCTGTTCTGGAAGTATTGTGGCAAGCTGTTGACTGCGCAGTCCGTCAGTGAGGGGTTGGATGGGTTCAACGGTGCGAAACACACATCCTTTAGACTTGCTGTGCGGTTCAGATCATCTGACCAGAACTCAATGTTCTAAAAATGTCATAGAAAAAGCATCAGTGAGTCAAAATCTTATGCTGAGCTTTTGCAGACATTGTCATTAGTCAAACTTTGATTATGGGCTCTTTACCTGTATCTGTTTCTGGAGCTGCAGCAGCTCAATGACGAGGTCTTTGGATACAAGCCCGCTAAAGTTCTGTGGGCCAAACAGCAAAGAGTTGTAAATGTGGCCTTTTCTGCCCGGCGCTGTCAAGATCAGCTGGTTCGTCCTGAAGAAGGGGTCAAAGTGTGAGTCATGGAAGTCTTTCTCCTGACGGGCACGGCTGTTGGGAGCAGACCACAGCTCCACTGGGTCAGTGGTGAGCTCGATGGACTTGAGGCCAGCAGAGAAAACAGCCACGACTATAGCCGACAGCAGGAGCACCTTGAAGAAAGATAAAATATTAACAACTGAGACAACTTTTTCTTTTCTTACAGCCACAGTGTGTTTATGAAATATTAGAAATACTTTGGGGAAACTTACCGTGAGTGGGTATGTAGCCATGAGGGTTCCCCAACGTTGAAACTGTAAGCTCAGGAAATCTTGAGCAACCAGGGTGTTCTTGTCAGTACATGTCACCTCTGATGGATCAATGTCCCGCTGAGTCACATCATTACTGTTCTGGTCTTTGCCTTTCCCTATTCTCTTTCCTTTCTCCTCATCCTTCCTTTTCCGAAACCAGCAAGTGACGGAAACGTATAAGAGGAAGGCCAATATCAGCAAACAGAGTAAGATAATAGAGGCTACAAGGAAGCCATCAGTCCCCAGCAGCGTGAAGGGGCTGGGGGGCTGTGGAGGAGGTGGCATCTTCGGGCACGACTCTTGGCAGTCCTGGCATGAGCAGAACTGACCTCCGGATGGCGTGGTCTCGTTACACATCAGTGCACGTCCATTGTAGGGAATCACCCCCTCTGGTAGTCCCTCAGTGTGTCCCTCCTTTATCAGCTGGAAGTCGATGTCCAGTGGAGCCAGGCCGTTACTGGAGTCTCCCTGGAAGTCATACCAGCGCTGGGGGTTGCAGAGCTTGGCGCCATACCGGCCACACATGGTGGCGATGGCGAAGCCCCCTGTGGCTGGGATCCTAACGTTTTTACAAGACTGGAAGGAGGCGTCTGCGAAGGTGGTGCTGAGGAATGCCTGGTAACCTACTACAGCCAACTTCGTCTTGCCCAGGCTGGTGACGTTCATGACCTTTGTGACATTTACCGTCTGGCTCTGGTTGGGGCTGCAGGTGTTGATGCAGTGCAGGTGGGCAAAGTTCTCGGCGCAGGAAGGGCAGCGGATCAGCACGGCCTTGGAAAGGGTCAGGCTCATTTCTAGGGATGACAGCTGCTTAATGGAGCAGCAGGCGTACGTGTTGTTCTCTCCTTTATCCAACATAGGACACACCTGAAGCAAGAACAGGCACTGTTTTTATAAACTAACACACAAAAACAAAAGCAAATAGACCTTTTTCAGAGCATTTTGACATAAAATAGTAGGGTAGACTCAGGTGTTACCAATGTCAGAGTCAGAAAGCTGCTATTGCCTTTATCCTACTATTTCATGTCAAAATGGCTGCTGTGAAAAATATCTGTACTCTTTATTCTTAAGAATAAACAAAGAAGCATTAAGCTTTATCCCAATTAATGCTTCACTCAAACACTCTTCACCTCTTTGAGTTTCCTGTAGTGCTCTCCTCTGAGATGACGGGCGCGACTGTAGTCCAAACAGGGGACGGTAGGAGGAAGGAGGGTGCTATTCAGCAACGGGTTACGACCACACTCCTGATAGAAAGTGCAGAAGCCTGGCTCGTGTTGGGCCTCTGACAGCACCTGCATGAAGACAGAATTGTAGTTGAAACCACATAAGGTTAGGTTACTGTAAGTGTACACTTTTAGAAGAGAGGAAGAACTTAAAGACATTTCAACTCTTGACTCTTTATACGTTATATTAGTGTGTCATTTTGATTAGTACATTTTTGTAGCTTTTTCTATAGACATTATATCACAGTATTAACTCATAAAACAGTGTCATAATGGCTTAATTACTGCACTGTGTCCTGCTCTGTCAGCTACTTAATGCCACCTTGCAAGTTACAAGACAATAAAATGGAAAATGTGCAAGTTCCAAAATGTTGCGTATGTTCAGTTCAAGGCTGATTACAACCACAATCTAAAATTAATTAAAATAATTAACTATATTACTATACAAGTAGACCTTCCCCGGCCATTTTTAAAAGCTTTCTAAAGCCCTGTGTTGTTGTTTTAATGTTAGCATAACTAATTTTAATTTCTATGATTGAATTTTCTTCCACTTCTTTATGAAAGTATTTTGTTCTAGTGTGATCTATAATTAACATTAACTCAAACTTAGTTAAAACAATGTAGACTCCTGGATCATGTCCTTTTTTTATTTTGAAGGTATGACTAGGGCTGATTTACTTTACTAATTTACTTTAGATTCTCTTATTTTCACACTGGACCCTGCAACTTTTACCTAGAAAACAGACATTAGTCTAGATGAAAGTCACAAAATATGTTAAACAGTAAAGAATGTTACTTTTAAAATGTTATTTTTTAAAGATTACAAACAGTTTACATCAGATTACTTGATATAAATAGAATTTTAAATGCCTAAATGAACACAAATCAACATTTGTTTTTATTTAGGTATTTTACATCTTCCATATGGTTGAACTTTGAACCACAGAAGAGTAATCTGACATTTATCTGTGATTTACTGGGAATTTCCTGCCTGCATAAACACTTCTCTAACCTTGTGACGAAGCAATTTTTTTCCCTCTGACTGATTTATGGCGCTTTTTACTGCCCACACAAATTCAACATTGGTCCTTCTGATATCACTAATATTTGCATGTGTAATTACAGTTTCATTACAACATTATCCTCCCTTGTAAGTGATTACATGTATTTTGTATTTAAGTTTCAAAAGCAATTGCATGTATTCTTCTACTGTTCAATCCTGGGCACAGATCATATCCCTAGTAAAGAGCTATAACGTTTTTAATACTTCAGGGTAAATCAATGTGAGGTTTTTATGCTGTTGACTAAAAGAAAATGTTTATATTCTAGTACAGCATTAAAAAACTATCAGCTACAGGTTCCTTAAAACAAAGAAAAACCAGACCAACTTACCACACAAGCCAAAAAAGTGATCAGGGCTGCGACACGGACCATGATTCCTGAGAGAGAGTCGGGGGCTTCAGGTACAGTCAAATGGAGTGTATAATAATCACAGCCGCCCTATTGGAAGATACATTAGACAAAGAAAGACAGTGAGAGGTGCTCTGTGGCGTGCCAGTTGTCCTCTCCTATCGTATGTCTGTCTGACTAACATTGTTAGGGGTTGGGGAAGGAGAAACTTCATGTCCAACGTCACCCACTCTTGTGATGTCAGTATTCTTATCTGGTCTGATGTGTTGGCTGGCCAATCACAGCCGTGGATGATCAATTTCTCTGTCTGATAATTAACATGAGGACAATTTCGATAGGGTTGCTGAGGAGATCCAAAGCAGCCGGGAGAGAAACTGCAGGAGAATCCAAAACAACAAACCGCACCCAGTCCTTCACCTGAGTCATACTGAGTCTTGTAACTGATTTAAGACAATATATATAATTATAAAGACATTGGTTGACCTGAATCAGCTCAATCTATATAGGATATAGCATACAGGATTTCTTTTATTGTTGTTAAGGCTGTGCATGCCACAAACATGCAAAGTACAGCACACTACGCCTCAAAATGACCTTTAGACCATCAGCTGTGTCCAGAGTATCTGATCTACGGTGCAGAGAGCGTGCTATAATGTCCCTGACACAACAAAATGTTGTTTTAGTCAGTTTAATTAGTCTTACATCAAACCCAGTGTCAGGCCTGAAGACTTCAGCAGGCTGCCATGCCAAGACAACTAGACTAATCACTTCCTAGATGGCATCCTTCACTCGAATCTCAGTTTTGTAATTAAAGTTATCACATGTCAAGGTCACAGCTAAGATAAAACTGTCAAATCGGCGCTATCAGGGCGAAGGTGCACAAGCATTTCTATTTGTGATAAACAGAGATGGTTAAAAAGAAGAAATGGGGCAGATATGGTGATGTTCTTTGTTCTTTGCTGATAATTCACGACAACCTGTTGAATTTTGTAACTTGGCCAGCGCACCAAAAACTGCCTCACTCTGCAGTGTATTCAAATCAATGGGTAAAATCAGGTGATTTATCAGCATTAGAATCTATTGATCGAAAATTATCAGGTTACTTTCACCTGAAAAGTACCTAACTTCCTATATTTATAGTGTTTGACGTTGCTCTTCTGTGAATAAATACATTTCTATTCTTATTTATCTCTTAACTATTTTAATCCCGGTCTGTTTTATCGTCTTTGTTTAACCTGAGTGCCATAGATTTTATTTTTTATAGTAAAACAATGAATAAGCATTTGTATGTAAATACAAAAATACAAAGGATGGATGTGAATGTGTGCTGCTATATTTTGGACTTTGGTCAGTAATGCTTGACTACAAAGCTCATATATTCTGTATAACTATTGTTTTTGTACAAAAACAAATTTTTATGGAGAACTATTAAATAAAATAAGATTCACAAATAAAATGTAATATTTATGTAATGTTTTTTGCACTTTTTATGTAGAATTGCTCACCTGAAATTAAACACACGAGCAGAAACACCTGATTAATGCACAACATGCATAAACTAAAATTATTATGGCATTTAATCAATAATTTTCTGACAGCCTCAACAGAATTGTAACATTTTAAAGATGCTTTTTCACAAAGGTGGTATTTATACTATACAAATACTTCCTTTATATTTATCTTGATATTAGATTTCTGTTGAGAGTGTAGAAATATTGATTAATGCTATTTTTGAATGCTTTTATTTTTTTGTTCTGTTATGTGAGATGTTGTATCTGATTGTATTGTACGTGTTTCCCACTGTTCTTTTAAAATTGAATCAAAGTGGATTGAGAATTAAAATAAATCAACAAATATAATTTGATAACTTAAACACTTGTTGAATTATTTCAACATTAATTATTTATTAATAACAGCAGCTACCAAGTGTTTCAAATGGGGAGCAAAGGAGGTTAATGCTGTGAGCCTTAAATAAATTAAATATGGATGAAAGTTTTTATACTTACTCAAGTCCTGAAGTACAGTTTTCTTTTTTTATTGTTAAAAAATACTTATCTGACAGATGAAATTGTTAGAATAAGGTTTTAAATGGAAATGCATATTTACAGTTTGTTTGCCTTGTTTTCAGTGTGTTTTAAAACAGGACATTTTTTTAGGTTTGTAGCACCTACTGTTTAATTTTTATTTGTTATTTAAAATGTATTTGCATTGCATATTTGTATGTCATAATTTATACTGATAAGGACACAGAAACATGCTCAGTTTCATGTTACGTGCCCTGATACGGCTTAGCATTTTCCTTATGTCAAATTGCATAAAGGGTGAATATAATATCAATTATAGGCCTACTATTTACAAGTAAAAATTGAAGTTACAAACAATGCAACACTGCATTGTCTGATCTATTTAAACTGACATGTATCACGTTTATATAATCATGCATGTTTCAAATATTATGAATATCTAATTAATCATGTGCAGAATGTTAAAATGAGGAATAATTGGTGACAAACTAAACTTCTAAAATATTTGTGCTTTTCTTGGGTTGAAAAGTCTCAATATCGATATATAAAAAGAAAAATCTTACACAGAGAGAGCTGCAGAAAACCTCTTGCCATCTCTCCTCCACGGCACAGAGTGTTGAAAAAGACCATGCAGATCTCACTTTCAGATAACACACACTTTTCCCTCTTTATGATGGAGTCCTTATCAGTCATTATTTATGGTCTTATTGTGCCATCTGGATGGTAGAAAGAGCTGATTATCTTGGCTTTCTGGACTCCGATACAGGTTAAGGGTAGTTTCCTCAGAAAGCTCTTGGCTATCAGCTCAGAGGATTATAAAAGCTTTGCATGATGGCGATAGGAGGATCCTCAAATATATCTGCAATCACCATCAGATTCTCTCTCAATTATAAGGTCCTTGGTTTAATCCCCTAATGTATCACTGTCACGTCCCTGACTTTAATCTTTAAGATGATTTGTACTCAGTGGTTGTTCGACCAAAGTGACACTAAATCAGACTCATGAACCTGCTGATCCTCCTCCACAACAACACTGAGTCTGGTCTGGCACATGCACAACTTATGCAAGCCTGAACAGTTTCAGTCCGTGTTTACCAACCATACTTTCTCTGCACTGTGTTTCTGTTTGGGTTTCATCTGGAGTTTGAGGGGTTTCTTCATGAAACTCAAACACTGTATAAAGCATATTACAGACTGCTGCTTACAGACACGGAGCGGTACTGAAACCAGCTCTAGGAGCTGAAACAGTGTAATTTCTCTGGTGTATAAGATTCATCCTCCTTGCTTATTAAATATTGATATTAGTATTATTGCTGTTGCTGTTATCGTCGTATATTTTTATATTAATTTCCCATCACTTTTAATCTAGTGATACTTTTTTCTTTATGTTGATTCTGTTTTTTAAAAACTTTTAACATTAGGGTTTCAGCCTCTCCCTGCACTTTATACTATTTTTATGCATTTTTAAACCTGCACAAACATTAAAAAAACCTACTGTGGACGTAAAATAGAAACCCCCCCACCCCTCTTTTCCCTTTGTCGCATCCGTCAGTGCTTAGTGACATTTTGAGGACACTGTTCATATATGCTGTGGCTGTTGTCACTGTGCAGGTATGCAGGTGTCACAACCCTCAGTGTCACTTCAGACTGGGCTCCATTCCTCACTCACTGCTCACCGACTCTCTCAGGCTCCTCTCTGGCTGGATGCTGGATGACTCATGAGACGTCCAGTAAGGTGGGTAGTTGACTTGTCGAGGAAGCCAATAAAACAACCAAACTGAGCATTACAGACGTTTTTAACAACACACACTTTGTGTTGCTATGGCAGGGAAAGCACAGGTGTAATTTATAACTATTGATTACGGCTCTGTTCCACTGGGTATCAGTCAGCAGTAAGGAATGGCCCCTTTAGTTCCTTCGTCTCCAGACTGAAGGGGACTTTCTCTATTCGGGCAGCTGTACTTTGGAGCAGCCACTTCGTTTTTTAATTTTTAATCTTTTAATCTCTTGGTATCTGATTGTTGGTTGTGTTTTGTTGTCCGTTTACCTCACATATTGCCCTTCATTTTATTCAATGCTGCTGTTTTTGGGCGTGTAAGTAAAGCACTTTGTACTCATTGCTTTAAAAACAGTGGTACATCTTCTAAATGGAGCTATTGTTAATATGAGTAACACCTGTGCTTTTCCTGCCATTAAATGTTATAACATGATATAAATGAGACATCAAGCGACTTTTGCACAAATGTATCATAGCAGAAACACCCTAACCCAATAAACAATAAAAGACAATAAAAAACCCTCAATACTACTGTCAACACAGACTCGTTAACTTTCTCTACTCACACTGATCAATTAACTCTATTAGCTGCAGCTACAGTTTGTTAGTCTGAGCTGCTCTTTCGTGACTTTTCGCACCATATTCTCCCCCGACTCACTGGACATTACGCAGCCTTTGAACTGTGTTTCAGGTCATTGATTCATCAGCTACCAGTGTACAATAAATCAATACTCTGGCAGCAGTGATTACTCACTGAAATCGGGACCCTGATGGAGACACGCCCTATGTGTGCTTCATGATGTCAATAAAAAAACCTGTCTTGATTTTAGAGCTGCACAATATGCAGAAGCTGCCATTTTTAACTAAAACGTAATAGGATGATTTTTTTTTTAGTACATAACTGACAAATATTCTTCATCTTGATGACTTTAACGTTTTTTTCAGTGAAAAATTAAAAAATTTCTGATGCAAAAATTATAATTCAAGTAGTAATAGTGCATCACATCACAACGGTTATATGATGTTTTTACTATATAGTGCAGCCCGACTTGCTTCGGTCAGTACTGTGAATAGAAACTCAACATGCTGAGGCGGAGGTACATTTTCCTGCTTTTGGAAAAGACACCGAGAAACCTTAAAATGTCAAACAAAAATAAAATTCTTAGGGAATCATGAATTTATTCCAGAAAAGTCAACATACCCAGGACAAAAACATCTTCTATCCCTATGAAAAATACATTAAAGTTGAAAAATAAAGTAAAACACATGGCTCATCTGAAGAGTTATGACATTTTAGTACTAAAAAAATATAACTCAAAAGTACAAATAAAAAGAAAGAAAAACAAAAAAAAAAACATGCAGTTTTTTAAAGTTCAAAAAGTAACATTCACTACCTGAACTTTAAAACACAGTGAGTATGAAAAAGAGGGAGAGAGGGAGAGAGGGAGAGAAAAAAATAGACGTGTGATTCAAAATCTGCGTTGCTTGTTAGGTCCATAGTCTCCGGGCCCCGGGAGGCCCCTGGGGAAGCCGCCCTGGCCTCCTCCGGGCATATTGTTGTTCCCCGGCCCCGGCATCATCGGAGCGTTCTCAGCAGCCATGCCGGGAGTACCGGCGGCACCAGAACTGCCGCCCAGCGAGTTCCTGTTCATGGGCATCCCGTGGTTGCCCATGTGCATCCTCATGTCTTGCTCCCTGTTTTCAGGGAAGTTGCCCCTGAAGCCCTCCTGCTGCTGCCGCTTCAGCATCTCCTCGTTGCGGAGCCTCATCTCCTCGTTGCTCCTCCGGCGTTCCTCCTCCTGCCGGATCTCGGCCTGTTTCCTCTTCTGCACCTCCTGACTGTGGAGCTCCTCCATCCTCCGCAGCTCCTCCTGCCGCCTCAGCAGGTCCTGCCTCATCAGCATCACCTGGTGCTCGTGCCTGGCCGCCTCCATCTCGGCCTCCAGCTTCTCCTGGGCCTCCTTCATGTTGTGGTCCACCATGTCGTACTGCTGCTTCTCCATCTCCATCAGGGCCTTCCAGCGCATGGCGTACTCGTACTCGAAGGAGCCCGGCTGGGCGAACCGCGGCGGCTGCTCGCGCTCTTTGTGATACTGCTGGTTCTTGTTGATGAGCTTCTCCGACAGGCCCTCCTCTTCGTCGTACTGCTCCATGGGCTCCACGGTGATGGGTCGAGGGAAGGCCGTGAGAAGATAGGCACCGTCGCCGCACTTATCCAAAGCCTTCCTCGCAGCCGGCTTTGAGGTGTACTCCACTATCCCCTTCCCCGTGGGCCTCCCTCGGTCATCCACTATGACCACGGCTCTCTCGATCTGCCCGAAGACGGCGAAGGCCTCCTCCAGGAGCTCGTTGGACACAAAGTCTGGCAGGTTCTTCACGGTCAAAGCAGCACCGTGGGTCGCAAACCTCACCCGTATTGGCCTGCCTCTGAAGGGAGTATCATCCAGCTCGGCTCTGGCGATCTCTGCTATGATCCTGGTCTCCAGCCGGATGAAGCCGAAGCCCCTCTCCTTGTTGATGAAGATCTCATTGGCCTTGCCGTACTTGGCGAACAGCTTCTCCAGATCCTCCTCGGTGACTCCGGTCGGGAGGTTCCCCACAAACAGCCTGCTGCGCTGGGTGAAGGTCTTCTCCCCGGGCTTCCTGAAGCTCTGCAGGTCCAGGGTTAAGGCCTCATTGGGGTTGGTGTGCTCGCCGGACTCGGGCTGCTGCCCATTGGTGTTCGTCCCTCCCTTCTTCTGCTCTCCCGGACGGTTCGGCCCGTGGTTCTGCTGGGAGCCTCGGTTTCCCTGCATCTTTTTGCAGCGGGATTTTTTTAGATATGAGAGTGAGGGAGAGAGAGAGAGAGAGAGAGAGAGAGAGAGGGGGGACGCAAACTCTGAGCGGGCAGTGGCGCACAAAGAGCTGCGAAAAATGGCGAGGCTGCCGCGACGCTATTGTGACCTCATCTCGGCGCGACTTGTGTATATAAATCGATGACGTGGAATCTGTGCGACGGTGCGAGAAATTAAAATTTAAAAAAAAAAAAAAAAAAAAACTGTGTCGGGGTTTTTTTATTTTTTATTATTTAAATAAAATCTTATATTATTATGTGTCTTGTCTCTAAATGTGATGAAGGTTATTTTTTTTTGTGAACGCTTTTATTTTTTTTAATATATTTTATTTCTTGTTCTCGCTCGTCTTCTCGCGAGAGTACGCGCCCGCCGTGATGTTGAGCGGGTGATTTCGCGGGAATTGCCTCTGTTTTGCTCGCGGACGACGAGTAAAATCAGCGATATCTGCAAGAATAACTCAATATCTGACTTGAGACGGGTACCAGCTGAAGGTCGACTCCCCCTCGTTCAAAGTAAACTCGTCAAATCCGGTTCATGAACGCAATTCTCGAAAGAAATCGGCGTGTTTTGAGGAGCCTCAGTAGCTGTCATTGAGTGTGGCTCTTGTAAACACATGTCTCTGCTTTCATTTCAGGACCGTCATGTTCTCGGACCTGAGCGCCCAGAAGCACGGCTCCTCTCTGCTCAGCCGCCCAGCCTCCGAGCACCAGGGGCCGGTGTTTGAGAGGCTGTCCCTGGTCTACAGTCCCTGCTCCGAGCGCTACAAGGTCGGGGAGAGGAGCTTCAGTCGCCAGTATGCTCATATCTACGCAGCACGACTCATGCAGATGAGGCCTTTACTGTCGGAGAGAGCCGAGCAGAAGTGGGGTGAGCTGAGGACATGGTTTTCACTAAAAACACTGCAAATCAGATGAAATGAAAGTGAAGTGAAGAGAAATATACAAAGAGAGAAAGAGGAAAAGACAACAGGTCAGAGCTGTACATGCAACCAATCAGTTGTTGTTGCTGTCAGAGAGTAATCAGGAGTTTTATATATTTATCTTTGTTTAATATCTTTATATTGCGTTTTTTTTATTTGTATTATATACA